TATATATATATATATATATATATATATATATATATATATATGTTGTCACTGTAAATTCAATAATTTGTATTTTTTAATTATTTCCTGCTATTTTGATTTCTTAATTTATCATCAATTCATAATAGTTATTAATAAACTCATGGTATTTTTAATCTTTTTTGTTATAAAAGAAGAAAGAAATTGATATCACTTTCTTTTATTTATTATTTTAATATTAATTATACAGTGTATTGAGGGTAAAAAAATCTTTTTATCTATTTATCGCTGTTGCGAAATTACAAACAACGCGATAGTTCTCACTTAAAACTAAATAATTAATCATGCGAACAATAAAATAAAAAAATAAACTTTGATTTCAAATATGAAAGATAATACGAATGACGTATTAACGTTGATATAAATGTTATTGATATTTATCGACTCATGTTGTTATTTTTAGATAAAGTTAATTAGTTAGTTAGTTAATTAGTTAGTTAGTTAGTTAGTTAGTTAGATAAAGTTTTTCCTTCCCTTTCTTCTTATTTATTAATAATTATTTTTTACCATAATTTGTTATGAATAACGAATTAAAAAATATTACTAGAATTATATATATATCTTGCTTTTAAATTGACATCTTGAACTTATTGAAATAAAATATAAAATATTTCTTAAATAGTGAAGAAATTTTTGTAATCAATTTTTACTAAGTGATTAAATTCATAATATTGTAATAATTTGGTAATAATTTTTCATGTTATTATTCACATTTGTTTCCTGTTTCAAGAATTACAAAGAATTATGACAATTGTCTATGCCGTTTGTATGGAAATTGCAATAAAATTACGTAAAAGAGAATATATTCAAACTTCATGAGTCTAAACTTCGTGAGAAATGACTTCGGTTGAAGGAGCAAAGAACTAGACAACAAAGAATTACGCAACAAAGAAGTTCTTTCATGATTAATTGTTAGAAAAAAACCAGGCAATCTATGTGATGTTAAAAGGTTGCGATTCCATTCTTCGACGATCCTAAAAAAATATACTTGTTCCATATATGCATTCTCCTCTGAATCTTTGACGCTTTAAACGTGTCAAAAGGAGGGAGATCTATCATTCAACATTATTTTTTGAGTATACAAATTATTATTTTATTGATTAATATTATTGAATAAATAAAATTGTATATAGAGAAAAATGAAAAGGACATGATAAATTAAAATGATATACGATTATTATGTGTAATGGAATGTGATAATTAGATAAGCAATTGCAATTAGCCATTTAGAGGTCATGGAAAAAAGATACAGGTTGTATAATATCGATCATTATTTCTAAGTGGAAAATTTTTTTCTGTTCTTCTTTTTATGTAGAACTGATAGTAACAAGTAAAAAAAAAAAAAAAAAAAATTTCAGAATTTCATGAAATAATAAAATTATGTGCACAATTTATTTCTCATTCAAGATTAACGAGTGATTTGTTGATTTTCATATTTGTAACTTGTTGAAATTGTTGAATTTGTAAATTATTGAAAATGGAAAATAACGTGTTTTCTTTTTGATAACTGATATCATAAAAATAATGGAAATCTATAAAATTGTATGAAATTAAGAAATTTTGCATTAATATAGTCATATAAAAGAGCTGATTAATATTCTGCAATATTCAAATTTTGTAATCTTATCACGAGATTATATTCCATTGAAACCAGTTATCTATCAATTATCTGTTAATTAATTCTACGCAACGAAAATCTTATCTATCTATAAATTATTTGAGAAACTTGTTGGCATAATCATGACTCGTTTCTATGATGCTTAGAAGGAGCTAGATTATGATGATTCATGAAACATCAAAGAACAACTTTCTTCTTGATCGCATAATTCTTAATGATCGTTACCGTCGGCTACAAGTCATTAAATATTCATTAAGTTTAACTAATAAGATCTATTGTGGCAAGATCATGATATAAACATTACAAGGAAAATATATTAGAAAACCTTTTAAAATATGCATATGTGAACTTTTAATATTTATTTGTTGATTTTTCTTAATTAATTTACATAATTAAAATTAATTTACATAATAATAATTTACATAAATTAAGAGACTTGTATTAATTTTAATCTTAGTAATTTTATAAAAGTTTTCTTATATATTTATATATATATATATTTTTGATATTTTATATTAGTATTTTATATAATATAATATAATTATATTAGATATACATTTTGTTTCGAAACTTTTATTAATTGAATTCCATCATTTTTATTAATTAATTAAATTGTTATAAAATTTCGAAAGTAGGAAATAAACAATTTTAAAAATTGTTACAACTATCAACTTCTTTTATTTTTTTTTAATTGTATTTACATTATACGTTATATATTTTCACATTGCAGTTGCATCTGGTGCATTGGAACACAAGTAAATACAACACATTTGCCGAAGCTGCAAAAGCATCCGATGGTCTTGCTGTTCTTGGCGTATTCTTGAAGGTAATCATTCTGTATCTAAACTTCAAAGCATTCTTTTTACATCAGATCTATATATATATACCTATATATATGTAACCGTCAGTTTCAATTTTTCCATGTGATAAAACAGAACGTTAAAGCGAAAGAACAACGTTATCTTACGAAAGAACAAAATAATAATAATAATAATAAAAATAGTAATATAAAACGAACGAATATATAATCTCGAAACGTCTAAAGTCTTTAAACAGAGACAAAAACCTTATAGTCGGCAAACATGATGACTGATAGAAAGTATCTGATGACAACAAGTTTCAAATATGCAATGAAATATTCTCTGGAAGATTTCGTGACAAGGAATCAAAAACAAAAGATAAAAAGGTACGAATGGTAGAAGAAAATGAAATACGTGACTTTGAACGAACTAATAAAATCTTTCACCAGAACTATAATCGGCAAACAGAATTGAGACAGAGTGTCGTGACAACAAATGCGACGTGTTCTTAAGATCGTAATTCGTTTAGATGCTGTTTATGCCTTTTCTATGGATGCATCATGGTAACATATTTACATATAGTTGCCCAAGCTTTTATATAACCTCGTAAGCTAGCGTAAGCAGAATCCGTAACAGTGACACTTCATCATCGATTCGATGACGTGTTACATAAGTATTTGATCGTGCATCATTATCCCACTGTTTCGAACATTAGAAGAGTGAAATTCTCTTTAGTAAGCTATTGAATATTGCGTAGCCAAGGACAAATCGTAATCGCATGCTCGCGCGCGACTTTTAATCATTCACTTCCGGTTTGTGTCGTCACTTTCCCGACTTTCTGCGTATGATTGAAATTGCGTTATTGCTCGATTTTCTTCCTCTATGAGAAGAGGAAGATTTGGAATAGAAAATTCAAAGAATTTGAAACGGAAATTTTTATTAAGAAATGAATTGAAAATAAATAAAATCGATAAAAATAGTGGATGAGATCAGGATATATTAGCATATCTTAAACTCTAATCAGTAATCGTTTGCACGTTGAATATAGAATTGATTTAAATCCAATTAGAAATTTTGTTGTTAAAAATTTTAATAACTTCTGTTTAATGTATAATTTAAAAATAAATTTTTCTGCTATTATAAAAGGTGTATGAAAAGATTTGAATTTTTTTTTATAAGAAAACGCGCATTTATTATGCAATCGTTCGTTAGAGCATGAAATGGTAAGACAATTCGAAAAGTAATATTGTGCAACCGATTGTTTACAATAGTTATTATTTACCAGTCATTTCCATTGAATTTATAGTAATCAATTGGATTATTTACGGTTATTCGTGTTGCACGAAATCTATTAGAAATTGTAATGGTATATAACACGTAGTATTTTCCGGTGCTGTATTTGAAAATTTAAAATTTAAAATTTACAATATTTATGAACGTGAAATCTATCCATTCTGATTAAAATATATTTTTATGATACATTTATGAGATATAATAACTATCATAAAATAAATTTATTGAGAAAAAGTTTACAGTTACTTGAGATTTAATTTTTTTGTTAACTTTAACTTCGCAAAAAAGAAAGGAAAACGTGTTTCTTCGATTAGATGAACGGATTTATCTTGCAAAATCTCTCAGACTGAAAAGGAATTATGAGGCCAGATGTAAGATTATCAACTAGCACAGACTATAGATAGATAGAATTAATATTTATTTGCAAAAATTGATTAAATAATTTTCTAAAAAATTTTCTAGAATATAATAATGAGACAAGTAAATGAAAATGGAAAAATTAATAATCAAAAAAAATTTTCCTCTTAATTATTAATAGAAAAGACATTGAATTTAAAAATACACGATAATCTGTCAATAGATAAGAAAATGAAAAAAACAAAAGATATTTTATCATGAATAAAACAAATTTTCATAATTAGCACAATTCCTACAATATTTCTTCGTTTTAACATTGAAAATGCATAGATCGTTGTGTAACTATGTATTTTCAGAGCAATCGAGGAAATGCATACCTACATAGGTAATATATGCACATGTTTCATTGCAATTAAAGAGGAACATAGAGGCTAAAAAAAAAGCACATTGTAAATTGTGCTCGCTAGTTACATTATTAACAGCTCTTAGACAGACTGTAATCTAGGTATGTGTTATTGCAAACTGATGAACATTTGACGATTTAATGATAATATATGGTCATTAATATAGGTTATGTTTGACTGATTACAGGTTCTCGTACTCTTGTACATGTTTTTTCTAGAAATTTTATTTTCTCGTTCGCACATTTCATAGTAACATATCTTCTAACAGGTTCTTAATAAAAACCGGTTGAAATTTTATCATAAATATGTATTTTCGCGGTTGATATGCAGTTTTATTTAACTGTTGATAATTTGATTTAATTTTTTTGCAGTCGATAAATTTGAAAAATAAGTTTCAATTCCGCCACTATGATGGCATCCATTTTTTTTTTTTTTTAAATATAATAACGCGCAGAACTTTTTTAATATTGAAAAATTAATTAATAAATTAGGCATTATAGTTTCTAGCTCTATTCTATTGTTCTTTATAAAAAAAATTCATATTTTCGTTGAATGATTATGTATATATTTTTAGACTTAAAATTATTTTAAGATTAATATTCATACGTTCGATTTCTCTCTTCATTCATCATTGTTAAAAATTTGATAAACTCGCGTCGTAATTCTCAATTGATAAACATACGACATATACACACATATATATATATATATTAACAACCACTATAGATGGACGATTATTCTAATAGAATGTGTTGCATAACACATTTGTTTTCGTTGCAGGTGGGAAAGACGCACGAGGAAATGGAAAAGATCGCTCGCCTCTTGCCTTATGTCTCGCACAAAGGCGAAGTCGTAGAAATTACGGAACCAATCGATCCTAGCAAACTTCTTCCCGGTTAGTATCTAATCGTCAATCTACATTCCCTTTTATGTTAAATTAGGTCACCTTTATGTCTTTATAGAATACTACGAATGAAAAGTCGCCTTGTTTTTTTCGCCTCCCATTTCCATTTACCGCAAGACACTCGTTTGAAATTTTCATTCGATTTTTTTCAACGGCGATCAACTCGATTCTTTAAAAAGAAAGAAAGCCTATCATTTATGCCACGCGATCCTGGTCGCGCAAAAGAATTAAGAAATCACAAACGAAATGTCTCTCATCAATCGTTTGGATTCGCTTAAAATTGATGAAAATTTGTTTTTCAAACGGCTTTTAAAAAATTTATTAATTTTTAACCTTTCAACGAAGGAGAGACGGATATAAATCGTCTCTTTATATATTTTAACGATTATTTCGATTCCTTTGGAGATTGACGAAGGTCATTTTAATAAGAAATTCTTCACAGTCGAGCACATTACTATTATTTAATGCAGTTACGTCACCATTTTTCTCGCGCTCCACATATTAATAAATTAGCAGCCAGTTTAATATATCGGGCAAGAAGTTATATATCGCGAGCTAATCAATTATCCACAGACAAGCTTTGTGTTATTTTGCGTT